AACGAGATAATCTCTTAATTAGGCACATTCGGCTTGTTTCACACATTCTCCTTATTAAATTATCCGAGATTTTTCTCACACCTCTCGAGTGCTTTTAGTTCATGCTCGTCTTGTCGGTTTATTCAGCGGAGCGTTTCAAAAGAACCAGAAATTCGAGTTGATGAAAATGTGGCACTTGCCAGGGTTGCTATAGCGTTCTTGATGATGCACCTGTGTGGAAACTGTGGTTCGCGCCTTCATATCACCGAAAGAAATGGATTATCTGAATTTATTTAGATTTTTATCTCTTATATTTAGTTTTTCAATATAAATTTCTTTACCCAAAATCGCCCTGAAACCTTCGTTTTCATGCGTACTTTCTGTCAGGAAATTGTAGTTTCCATGACAGAGGCAGAGCAGACAGGCCACTTGTCACTTTACCGGCCGTATGTGTGACATTGCTGTCTATAATGACTCATGTCATCACTGATAGATTTACATTAATAAAAATTGAAATTTTATATTAAAATTCGATTTCGGGTAATAGTTATTTACATAAAAGTCAGAAAAATGACCCATTACTGGCGAGTGGGACCGAGTACTTTAATATCCGATTCAGGTAATGTCATTTTATTAAATTTTACCCGAAATCGTATTTTAATATAAAATTTCAATTTTTATACAAAACTTTTGATTAATGTCAATCTGTCAGTGATGACAGGAGCCATTATAGACATTTGGAAATGTCACAAATGCGACCGGTAAAGTGACAAGCGGCAGGAAACGCAGTCTGTTCAGCCCTCTGTCATGGAAACTAAAATTTCCTGACAGAGAGTAAGCATGTAAATGAAGGTTTCAGGGCGATTTTTGGATAAGACATCTACTTTCTACACCGTTTTCATTCCTTGAAAGATAGAGAAAAAGGTAAAAACGGTTTATTCTAGATACTTTCATGTAGAATCTTGTGGCGTAGTTAAAAAAATTTTTAGGCCACCGTTTCTGGCCCAATGTTGAAATTAGTATGCGAGAAACAAATGATGTGCTACTTAAATTCAGCAAAGAGTAAAGGCACCAAAATGTAATTACGTATTATAAAATAAAATTAAGATATACAGTAAAATAAATGTATATGGCATGATAGTAAATGCGACGCGACGTATAGAAAAGGAAAAAGGATAAACAGCAAAGTTAATAAACCGAATTAAGAAATTGCAAGTAATATTTTTAATAATTTCTTTTTAAATAAATTAAAGCCAAACGAAAAAATATATAGGGTTGTTGTTAATCCTTTTAGCGTAACTATTTAACAAACGGAAATAGTTGATGCGCCTGTAAAAATGACAACCCTTACACTGCCAAGAAAGATTGCATTTTTAACTAAAAAAAAACATAATTTACAAACGACTAGGGGTTGCATTTTTATAAACACTTATATAGGGATGTTGTTAACCCTTTCAGCGTAATTATTTAACAAACAGATATATTTGATGCGCCTGTAAAAATGACAACCCTTACACTGGACAACTGCCAAGAAAGATTGCATTTTTAACTAAAAAAATTCATAATTTACAAACGACTAGGGGTTGCATTTTTATAAACACTTATATAGGTTATTTTTAACCCTTTTAGCGTAATTATTTAACAAACAGAAATATTTGATGCGCCTGTAAAAATGACAACCCTTACACTGGACAACTGCCAAGAAAGATTGCATTTTTAACTAAAAAAATTCATAATTTACAAACGACTAGGGGTTGCATTTTTATAAACACTTATATAGGGTTGTTGTTAACCCTTTTAGCGTAATTATTTAACAAACAGAAATATTTGATGCGCCTGTAAAAATGACAACCCTTACACTGCCAAGAAAGATTGCATTTTTAACTAAAAAAATTCATAATTTACAAACGACTAGGGGTTGCATTTTTATAAACACTTATATAGGGATGTTGTTAACCCTTTTAGCGTAATTATTTAACAAACAGAAATATTTGATGCGCCTGTAAAAATGACAACCCTTACACTGCCAAGAAAGATTGCATTTTTAACTAAAAAAATTCATAATTTACAGACGACTAGGGGTTGCATTTTTATAAACACTTATATAGGGTTGTTGTTAACCATTTTAGCGTAACTATTTAACAAACGGAAATATTTGATGCGCCTGTAAAAATGACAACCCTTACACTGCCAAGAAAGATTGCATTTTTAACTAAAAAAATTCATAATTTACAAACGACTAGGGGTTGCATTTTTATAAACACTTATATAGGGTTGTTGTTAACCCTTTTAGCGTAATTA